GGGGCAGTCAACCGCTTCCCTTCGCATGCCACCTTCAGTCCACGTCATCCGCGCTGTGGTTCACCCGCCTGCAAAGCCCTACTGCCGCCAGCTGAGCCCTGCCAGCGGGGACAAGCGCCTCGGCCGCAGCAGCCCAACGCTGCCGCCGGGCAGCGTGCCAGCCTCGGACCAGCCTCGGACCGAGTGATCTGCTTTACGTTGGAGCTGCCTGGCCGGACACGGCAGGCTGAGCCGCCTCAGCTCCCCCACGGCTACCCCCAGCTCTTTCTCGCTGTTCCCCAGATTCCTAAAGTGTGGCGACACTTGAAAGCGCATTTTATATCTCACAGGCGAAGGGTGGACGTCATGCCGCAGCCTGTGGCGTGTTCCCAGCCCATCACGGCTGCTCCAAGACCAGGAACGCGCATTTAAGTGCCAGAGCAACTGTCTCAAGTGCTGCAGGGGGAAGGTGCTTATGGGCAACTCTGTGTCCAGGAGGAAAGGCTGAGCTGCTCCTTGGATGGAGGAGAGAAAGCACCAAGCGCTGCAGTTGTTGCGGGAGGCTGACCTGGCTGCGTAGCAGGAAGGGAGCAGCATGTGTTTGAACAAGCACAGTCCCAGCGGCTAAGCGCACAGGAGCCAACTCTGTCCAAAAGGAAAGCAGCTTGCTTGCTGCTAGACATCTGCGCGAAGCAGGCTCCCAGCCTGCTCTGCCTCCGTTTCTGCAGATTTAGTCTGCGCTTGGAAGCACCAGAAGCGGAGAGGGAACCTCTGGTGACATCTTCGTGCTGCTTTAGGGTACCGCTGATAGCAAAGCCAAGCGCTGGTCGATGGGCTCGGGCGCTGGGCTGGCTGCCGGCCCTGCGTGCTGCCCTGCCCGGCCGTGAGCTGCAGGGAGCCCGGGGTGGCCAAGGGCAGCGCGGAGCAGGGACCTCGCCGCCGCCAGGAGCGGCTTTGCTCCGCGGAGGCACGGCTGCCCCCCTCACCCGCACGGCTGCGGCCGGACCGCTCCGCTCCGGGGTGCCGGGGGACCGGGGTGCCGGGGAGGG